TTTTAATATGTTTTCAATATTAATCATTTTCTTTTTTACCCGCCTTTTTCAATCAAATACTTATCAAGGCTTTTAAGATGCTTGTTGAAGTCACAAAAGCTTCACGCCTTTTTCTAGCTAACATCAAACGACGGATCTCTTGAAGTATTTGCAGATAAACACGACGCGTGGTAGCCGATTTAATGAATTCGACGGCGAGACCTTGATACTGGTGACACTACTCAATGAAATTTATGTTCACCATATTATTGATGGATTTACCACCATAAGTCGGTCGACAGAGTCACAATCAGTGAATATAGGGCTTATCTCGTGTACATAAGTTTGGCACTAGAAGAAATAGTATACGTAATTTCCGTAGCACACCCATTCTCTCTCTTTGTCAACTATAGAAACGACTTGAGAAATAATGCAAAAATAATATTTCTTTACTTTGTTATAAAATAGTTTCCAATTCGCAACAATTCAAATTCATCTTAATTTGAGATGCTTAAGTATATAATATATACGTGGTAGAGCCATACTGCAGTTATGTTACTAGTATAGTTGTAGCACGAATGGGTCGGCTCGACCGGGGAAGGACCACGCTCTCATAGAATACCGGGGTAAAATAGCAGCATAAAGCTGCTGTGTTTCGTATGGTGGGTGTAGAGAACCGGAGATCCCTTTTATTAGAAACGAGGCATTTTATCTTAGTCCTCACGGGTGACAACGCATCTGCATTTTAATTCGTAATCGAGGATCAATGTAGATGTCTATGGGACACAGCAATCACTTACCATCAGGTGGACTGTGTGATCGTTTGTGACCGTATGCTATAAAAAAAAATTTTTTTTACGAATTGTAAATGGAAATACCAGAAACATATTATATATTATTATTAATTTCCCCTCGAACCCCTATGGTCAGTATCGTGCTTAAGAAGACTAGACCAACGCGGCGGTCAACTTGGAATAACTTTATTACATATTTATAACATATTTTACTAGTTGCATTACAGGAAGCGCTTGTCCAAAAATAAGCTAATTGAAATGAAACGAATGATTTTTAATCAATATAGATTATTGTGTAATACTGATTGAAAGTCATTTTCTTATTTACCACTGGTTCGAAAAAAAACCTCTGACCTGTGAAGAACCAGAAAGAATCCCAACAGGCCATTTTTTAAACATGTTTCAATTTACAATAAATTTATTTTGTACAATTTTTGAATGAATTTTTATTTTATTAATAGTAAATTTAAGAACTTACACGTGCGTGAACATATGTTTTATAAAAGCCCTAGACCCCCCCCCCCCGGCTTCGCACGGGTGATTTCTGGATCTCGACTTCAAGCGCCGCCTACCGGGTTCAATTATGAATCTAAACCATCCAGGGACCATAACCTAATACTAAATGATTCCTTGAATTTGAAAAAAAAATTGCGATAAATCCCCTCATAAAATAAACATTCTAATCTATCTCTAATAAAATAAAGATTCTAACTACTCTCGAGGGGCCTATAAGGATGTTGTAGTTGCGCCGTTATTACTAATAAATTATTTACCGGGCTAAAGTGAAGTTATTTTTTACACAATATCACCGTAAGAAAAAATGTGGAATTTAAATAAAAGTTTTTGGTTTCTAATGTTTAGCCTAAAGCTTTTATTATACACAAAATAATGCCACAATAGTTGCTCTTTAATTTTTTGCATATTTTAACTCTCTTTTTACTTTAAGAATCTTTATAGTTTGGTTTATGTATCCATTTCAATGTAGTTAACTTAAATATAACTAATACTTTAGAAATAAATTTTTATTCACTTTTATATATTTCACCTCGTTCCATCGAAGGCCTGATGGAAAAAAAGGCTTAGATAAACCTTATTAATAGGCCTTCATAGGTATCTATTGTAATATAAATTTAAGATAAAAAAGCGCTCCTTATTTTTTATTCAGAAAGTAAACAATACAAAAATAAATGTTTGTATAAAAGTAAAACTTTTATACAAAAAGTGAAAAAATAATTAGTAAACGAGCGCGTAGCCAACCTGATAGTAAGTGGGTGCTGTGTCCCATCATGGATGTTTACATCTTTCCTTTACTAAGCGTCACTCCTGAGGACAAACACCTTTTTTTTAAAATAAATTAAAATGACAAACCAACATAAAGCCCACTTGAGTGGCTACTGCCGCAAGTACTTATATCTGCAACTATATAATACCTCTAAAACTATAGAAAACCTGCAAGTAACTTCAAATAAGAAAAGAAAAAAAGAAGGCTACAGTTGAATTATGACCTCTGCGGACTAAGATGAAATGAAATGCCCGTAATTATTTCTACACACTACAAGCCGGAGCAAAGTCGTGCACTCGCTGCTGTTTTGCAAACGGACACCTAGGCAGAGAAACAGTGCCATCACCTAGCAAATGCCTCGTTAACTGCGAAACGGTCTCCAAATTTCGTCACTCACTATACGAACCACAGCACCAATATTATTCTACCATACGTTAATTGTGCGATTGTCCTTTCCTAGTCTAGCCGACACACGCGTGTTGCAGCCACGGTTCACCACATATTTAGAACTTTTTGTCTAATTCATCATCATCATTCCACCCTATCAAAGTTAACTGCTGAATATAGAAACAATAGATTGCCTTGAAGAAAGGATATTCCAGCAGGTTGGTTGGCAACCAAGCAATTCTGCACCTATCTGGTTACGAGGACTAAGAATTCCATAGGTATAACAAAGCAGGTGCATTTTTAATCAATGATAGATTAAGGTGTGTTTGGACCGCAGTATTTACCATTAGTTGGACTACATACCAGTTTGTCGCTTGTAATGCCATAAAAAATTATTTTATATTTTTATATCCGCCGATTTACAAACAAGCCGACAGCAAGTTGCGTCGATTTGTCTTGCAGAGTTTCAAGTTACTGAAAATATTTTGACTACATTTCGCAATCTAACTTCTAAAGTTTCAAATTACTTATCGAGCTTCGGTAAAATTTCAATAACTTGAAACTCCCGTTTGATTTTACTTTACTGAACGGCTCCGTGGCGCAGTGGCTTAGCAATTAGTGGCTGCGCTGGGCGCCGCAGGTTCGAATCGCGGACGGAACAAGTATTTGTATGGCTTACAAATAATTGTTCCGGGTCTGGATGTTTATCCTTGTGCAGTTTATGTTCATAAACTGCCTCCACTATACAGGAGAAAATTCTAGTGTGGGGGTAACGTTTTATAAAAAATAGAATTTTATTATATACGAAAATTTAAGCAAAAATTTAAAGCTAAATTCCAGTTACAGCCAATATATACGTCCCACTACTGGGCACAGGCGTCCTTCAATTTCTGGCAGTACGTTTAGAGCCAAGAAGTGTCCATTGGTCTGCCTCAATGTATGTTACTACATCTGTCCTCAATTTATTTTATTTACGTTACTACACATGTCCTCAATTTTTTCCTAATTTAACAGACATACAGGTTTCCTTACGATGTTTTCCTTCACCGAAGAGCGTTGAAAATTGCAACTAACAATTTCAGTAGTGTGAGCCGTAGTAACTCTGGGGCTAAGCGCTAGGCTAGCGCGGTACGACCCGCGACCGGCACAAAAAAATAAAAAATCGCTTAGTATTTACTCTGTTTTCTTCCTTATCATTATTAGCCCGTAAATACCTACATATATATGGATATCTCCCGTTGTTAAGAGGATTTGCCTTAACCATGACGCACTTTTCATAATATTTTTCTGGCATTTACTATAGTAACTTCTTATGACACTCACGAGATGGAAAAAGGTAATGGTAGGAAATGGATTGACGAAAATTTCGTGTGATTGGCAACTACTTCCTTTTTTGTAAGTCGGCTAAAAGAAAATGTTTCTACTACACAAATCGCCAGCTAGTATTCGTAACTAGCACACAGCCTTTTTAGCTTAAAGCTTAGACAAAGCTTTAGTCTTAATGTTGTAACTTGAAACTAAAAAGACAACATACAATAAGTTTGGAATCAATATAATAAAAGTGAAGCGTGTTATCTATTGAGCACGAACACAACTTAAACCCTATATCATCATCATATGCAGTCTATCAAAGGTCGATTGCTAAACATAGGCCTCCGCATTAGATTGCCACATAGGGGGAATTTTTGCTATAGTTTCAAATCCTAGCAGTTTTTTATTATTTGGAGGTTGTCATCAGAAAGATGCTGCAGTCCATCTCCTGTTACAGATTCCCCCTGCCGCCTCCTAGGAAACCCACGAGACAACACGCGGCAGTGGATGGTGTGGTTTTCCACCACACCACACTCGCGACAACTGTTACTTTTTTATAGTATAAGGGTTTTATAGGTAAGGATTACTTGCTATATACTATTATTATTATATTTCAATTATATTAAATTGCTTCATATTGTTTTTAATTATCGTTTGTTTGTTCTTCGCCAAATTGAAACGAAACAAACCGCTTCTAAGGGTTACTTATGGAAATAAATGTTGCTTAAACTTTTAGGTTGTTTCGATACGTCGCATATTTAAAGAGAATTTAATTAACAGGGCTATTGGCACGGGAATTGTTTATATAATATATATTGCCTACCTCGCTTGTTTAGTGGTTATATCCATAGTGGTGAATCAAGAGGTTCCGGGTTCGAATCTCAGTTATTATGTTTTTTTGTCAAAAAATTGTCAGTAACAGCTCGGATTCAGGAAATTGGAGATGTTATTCCCCTGTGCCTCGAAAAGCACGTAAAGCTGTTGGTTCTGTGCCGTATCTCTCTCCGGTCGTGTAGGGCTACCGTACCATCCGGTAATGAGAGAAAGAGAGAGAGAATAGAGGGTGCATCTGTGTTTGCACATATACTCTGGCACTATAATACTGTTCTGCACAGGTGGCTAGTCTGCGTTGAGGATGTTGGCCATGAACGAAACTCAGTCTGAAGGACATTATTATAAAATATAAATATTACTTCTAATGCATTTGAAGGCGATTATAAAAAAGAAAACAAGTTTTAATATTATACCTGCGCTGTTTGCAATCGTGGAAGAACCTAAATATGGTGCGCGCGAGAGTTTTCCAGGATAGTGGTGATGTGAGTAGGGCGCGTGGTGACCATGTGAAGACGCCGGCCGTTCTACAATTGTGTAAGACGTCCCTGGTGGTGAGTAGTACACGCCGCCGCGCGCACGCGCCCTGGCATCCTCAGCCTCATAGCTCGTGTGCCGGTTGTCCTGCAACCACTGATTATATCCAACATGTTTTAAAGTAACATCCCCATTTGGGGTTTAAAAAAACTTTTTCTTGTAATGTGAATTATGGGATCTGTGTGATCTGAAACTTAAACAAGGCCTAAATTCATAAAAATGGTTGTACTTTCACTTATATAATATGGGTAAGCATTACCAGTAATTTAGGTAGTCACCAATTTCAGATAGGTTAAACCCAAGCACCGTAAAGAGCAAATAAGACAAGTATTTTTTATGCGTATCGTTGAGATAAGAAGGTAAAGGTTTTTAATATATTTTTATAACTTGAAGGAATAATAGACGGCTTAGCTATTCTACATTGAGGAATGTAGAGTGGCTAAGAGTTTGGTCTACATTTTTTAAAATGGTACTACAAACAGCCTCAAAAAAATTTTCAACTCCCTTTTTATCCCAAAACTTAAGTCGAAAGTTCAAACATTTCACACGTATGTTTTTGGGTAACCCCATTTTATAACTAGACCAAATTTCAATCATGTGTATAAAATATCTGTGACAGACAAACAGATAGTTGACGAGATAATTCCATGAGTGTTTCGGTTTTCAAACTTTGGCAGAGGGATACTCAAACGTCCATCTGATGGTAAATTACTGCGGCGCTTGGACATTTGTTACTCGTGTAAGCTAAGGTGAACTGACTACCTCACAAACTATATTTATCATAGAATACTATAATACATACATAATAGAACGGAGAAGTGGGTGGAGCCCGTGTAGCCACTAAAATTTCACTAACACGTCAATTCACACGTATCAACACGAGACGTTACAATCGTTTCCAAATTTCCCATGCAAATTATTTAGAAAATGCCAAATTGCACGCTATTTACAAATAAATATTTATTAAAATCAGTCTGTCAACACATCGAATCGGATTTGTAGTAGTGATAATACGACGTAATTGCTTGTATGTGTGCTCCCGGCGACGCTTATCCTCGTACAAAATAAGGTTGACAGCCATTCTATTGTGTATTATAAATATTCTATGATATTTATACGGCTGTACATTTTACTAGATAGCAGAACTCCTTTCTAGCCCAGGAATCCGTCCGGGTTGGAACCACGCTCAATACTATTTCAGCCATTTCCGCCGGTGTTCCGGTCTAAACGATAATTACAGGCTCTGAGGCATTCCACCTTAGTCCTCATAGATGATAATGCACATGCAGTTTTCTTTGTTAGAAGTTGGCTGCAAGTGAACATAGATTGCAATAATTACTTACCATCAGGTGGAATATAAGTCAGTTTGGCATTTTAGCACGATTTTTGGCACGAGTGGAGATGAATGAGTTGGTTGCATGAACATTTATATTATGGAATTTATTATACAGTGTAAAATTATAGAAATATCATGTAAGTAGCTATCTCAACATCAATCGCACAACAAATTGGCGTATTAAACGTCAATGACCGGTGTTCTGAAGGTGGGGTAAATTAGTGGAGCTCTCCTAGTACAACGGTGAAACGCCGAATTGTACAGTCATTGATTAAGTGGGAGAGAGTTACATAAAAGGACCACACGACAACGTTGAGGTTTAAGATGTCTCATATTCGATTTTTTTTTGTAGAAGAGGGGGCAAACGAGCATGCGGCTCACCTGGTGGTAAGTGTCGATCGCCGCCCATGAACAACTGCAATACCAGTGGAATTGAAGGTGCGTTGCCAACCTTTTAAAAAGAAGTAAGCTCGTTTCTTGACGGTCCCTAACTCTTATCGGTCCGGAAAAATCGCTTGTGGTTAACAATTCCACATCATGTGCGAAAGAAAACTCTTAGCAAATCGCACAGTAGTGAACCGCCAAGCATCCAGATGATGTGGATGGTGACTTAAGTACTGTTGCGATGTGCGTTGATAAAATTTGGCAGATAGAATTAATCCGAACAATTCCTTAGAGCATTACCTACTAGGGCTAGGTGGTCTCTCCCATCTGCTGATTCAAGGTAATACCTGCTGGGAGCGCGAGTGGCGCGCGAGGTGGTGCGCGGGCGGGTGCTGCGGGGTCGCGGAGCGCGCCCAGCCGTAGCCCTGCGAGTAGGGAGGCGGCCAGCGTGCACCGAACTCCGCCAGCTCCGAACCCTCGCCCGCCTCCCCCGACCTCATGCCGGGGGACGCCGCTCCCTCTGCAACAAACAAACATTTTTGGATCGTCATTCAAGCACCTCATCACAAGTTCAATGCTGAACACAGCGTGATATTGCGTGTAATGAAACTTATCGGTTCATGTGTAACTTAATATGTTTTTTTATAAAATAAGGTTGAGAAACAAGCACACAGTCCACCTGATGGTCAGTGGATGCTGTGTCCCATAGAAATTCTAAATTTATACTCAATTAAGAGACCCCTGAGGATTAAGATGTCAATAAAAAGGGTCTTCGGTACCTCCATGTTGAAAGGGGAAGGAGTTGCTAATTCTGGAGGCATACACTTATCTATGCCCATTAACTTAAAGACCCTTTCCGAGACGGAAACATATTGATACCTGGGTATGTCACAGAACATCGGTATCGATAAGGCGGTTATGGAACAGTCAGTTCACGACGTGTTTTATGCACCCCTGATCAAAGTGCTTAACAGCCTTTTGTGCAGTGTGAATAAGACACACGCATATAACGGTTCAACTCGGCTGGGCAGCGTTCGGGAAATTACGACACATCTTCTCGTCAGGTATACCTCAATCTCTGAAAACTAAAGTGTACAACCGCGAGAACCTCTCCTCTGCGCCTCGTATACTCATAGTGACCGACATAGCCCAACGGATTAGTAAGCTGAAGTGGCAATGGGTCGGCCATATAGCTCGAAGAACCGATAACCGATGGGGAAGAAAGGTTCTCGAGTGGCAGCCTCGTACCGGTAGGCTTAGTGTAGGGCGAACCCCTACTAGATGGAGTGACGACCTGGTAAGACATGCAGGAAGTCAATGGATGCAGGTGGCGCAGGACCGTGCTTTGTGGCATTGCTTGGGGGAGGCCTATGTTCAGCAGTGGACTTGTGAAGGGCTGTAATGATGATAATGATGATATAACGGTTGGGTCATGCCTGTTCTCATTTATACCTTTGGCATACTCAGGTGGACTCAGACTGAACTTAACGCCCTGAATAGAAAAGTCCGCACTACCATGACGTCCCACAGAATGCAACATCCGAGATAATCGGTAATGAGGCTGTACTTGTCACGATAGCATGGTGGGCGTGGCTTTTTAAGCGCGCTCACCATGCATAATCGCGAAGTGTGCAGTCTCCGTAATTACTTCCTGACAAGATCGGATGATCCATTCTATAATGACGTCATGTCTTGTGATAAAGGGCTTACCCCTGTATCCTTAGCCAACTAGCAATGGCAGGAACCGGCAGTGCAAAGCATTTCTGACCGCGAGGCCGTATGAAAGAAGGAGCTCCACGGGAGGTTCTACAAGACTCTACATGAGCCTTTCGTAGATACAGTTGCCTCCCTCAACTAGCTACGTTTTGGTGACCCCTTCGGGAAAACCGAGGGTTTTGTCTGTGCAATACAGGATCAGTTTATTATGCATTTGAGCTCGGAGCGGTCCGTCACGGCGTCCCAGCCCCCTCAGATGACCCGAGAGGCTGCCTGGAATCAGCCCGTTTGCGGAAACGACTACAGGAATAATTTCGGTCGGCAAAACTCCCCACATGTCGGTCACCCGTGAGCTAGATCCAGATATTTTGTTTGCTTGTCTGTTTCGGTTTTCAAGAGGTTCTTGTACATACTGAATTGTTATTTATTATCATTATTATTATTATTAATCATAAAAGGTCCTAAATAGAGAAGTACAATAACACTTGAAGTAGAACTTATATCATCTTTTATGTAACTAAAACCCGTATATACGTCCCTACTGCGACACAAATAATTCCTGTTTATGTGCGAATAGATCCAGGGCAGCAGTAAACATTGTACGAGCGGTGCACCCACCGGCTGATACCGCCTACACTTTATCTATATTTACAACGAAGCCGGCTTATCTTTTACGGTAATGATAAAACCCTTGGATCACATCTAAACTGTCTCGGAGTAAATTATTTTATGAAAAGGTAAAATTAGTTTCAGGACACTACTGATTGGAGTTTAAGTCATTACTCATTAACAATATTTTCTTTAAGTAGCGATCTCACCTGCAAGCAGTGCAACTTATTTTTTTAGCACACAGTCTACCTGATGGTTAGTAGATGCTGCGGCCCTTAGACGTCCACATCTATCCCTGATTAGGAATCAAAATGCAGATGCGTTGTCACCCCAGAGGACTAACTTGAAATGCCTCAGTAAACATGGTACCCGGTTTGTTTTTAACATCACGAAACACAGCAGCATTAAGATATCATCAAAACATGCTATATCAAAATCCCAAGATTTGTCATAACTTGTGCACATGCATAAGCTTTGTATTCACCTACCCACTCGCGATAATCATGATCATTATTACAACCCTTCACAAGTCCACTGCTGAACATAGGCCTCGACCAAAGAATGCCACAAAACACGGTCCTAAGGCCACCTGCACCCATCGACTTCCTGCATTACCTAGCCACCTATGGTGAGGGGGGGGTGCCCCACATTTCGCCTAACGGTACTCTCGAGTGGTAGCCTCGCCACTCGAGAACCTTGCTTCAACAACGGTTGTCGGTTCATCGAGCTGTATGGTTCAGCTTTCTAATTTGACAGTAGTTGGGAGCACTAAGCTCGAAGTTGTTGACGAGTATATTTACCTGGGACAGATAGTCCGACAAGGTAAATCCAACTTCGACCGAGAGGTCAATCGACGGATTCAACTCATCTGGACAGCACTTGGTAGATTACGGCACATCTTCTCGTCAGGTATACCTCAAAACTGCAACTGCAACGAGGTTGTATAACTAGGGTGTGTTGCCAGTTATGACTTATGGATCTGAGACGTGGTTCTTCACTGCTGGTCGTATCAGAGGGTCAAGGTCGCTCAGCGGTATTCGCTACGCTCGGGGCTATTTTCTGCGTGATAAATTTAGAAATGAGGATATCCGCAGTAGGACCAGAGTAACCGATACTCGCCAGCATGATGCCTAATGCAAATTTTCTTGTTAGTATGAGTTACACTAAAAATTATTGAAAAATCTAAATTTGGATATCTTGATGATGTATTTTGATTGCAGCATGAATGGCTTAATCGCGGAGAATACTGTCACAGAACAACAGCGTGAAATACCAGTAGGTTAATGCTGCTATGTTTCGCACGGTGGGTGTAGAGGACCTGAGGCACTTTTTACTGGAAACAAGGCATTCCATCTCTTAGTAGAAAAATAATAACTAAGAAGACGGGTGTTTAAATTTGGACGAAGTCATCTCTGACTTTGGTTCCAATGCAATTTTTATGTTTAATTTAAAGTATGAAACAAATGATCTTATAATAAATAATTCGGTTCTACATTTGTACTCAATACGAACTGACGTCGTTAATAATAATTGGAAATATTATATCATATTTGTTAATACAACATCTAGGTTTCAATCAAATATAATGTACTAAAACGACATCTAAATTATTTGCTAAAATTTGAACAAATGTGCGAAACACAAACATACAAATTTGATTCTTTTAAATTACAAATAAGGGAATATGGTCGCCACACACGGTCAGTTCAACTGATCAATCCAACTGATCAGTTCAAACTAAAACTGTTGATATTTTTTAAAATATTGGATTTTCGACATATCGATAATTATAAATATATAAATATCGGAGTTTTATATATAAGTTTATATATCAATATATCGAAAATCCGATAGTTTAAAAAATATCAACAGTTTGAGTTTGAACTGATCAGTTGGAATGATCAGTTGAAGTGACCGTGTGGAAGAAAAGAGGAATCAAAAGACCGAGCTTAAAAGCTATTATGAGAATTATTTAATTCTTTTTAGTTATTTGAGTGGATAAAGGAGCATTACAAGCTCAAGGTAACATCTAGAATGTTGCTTATACAGTTACATTAAAAAATTTCATTCCTCAACTTTCACTCTTATGGATGGAATTTTCTCTCCAAACTTATATATAATTATATAACATAAGATATTATTATATATAATTATAAAATATAAAATACAAGATTCATTAAGCTCGGTTCTTAATTGACAAAACAAAACAAAATTTAAAAAAAGGACACAGCCGAATTGAAAACCTCGCCCGTTTCTGAAGTTGGCTAACAAAGGAAATAAGTACTCTAAATCCCGTCTGATAAGTTTTCCTAGTTAGGAGTATACTCTAGAGAAATTTTACGTCCCTTAACATAGAGTGAGTTCATAATTAACTTCGTAAAATAAATCTTTTTCGTTCCAGTGTGAAATCACAACTTTTTAAAACATTACTTGAGAGTACGTTGAAATAGAGTACGAGAGTACGCGGAAAAAATACTCATACTTACACAGGAATTTTTCCTGACATTTTATAAATAAAAACTGCACATAAACAAACATCTACATATAGAACAATTATTTTTGAGTCCATAGTACTATTATATAGGTACACCGTGGTTCAGCGCAAAATTCGAACGCACGACCCGCAAAACCCGTAGACATGACAATTTCATGTCATATTATAAAATTTCTTATATAGGTTGTCCTTGGCCGCTTACATCGATAAATCATATTCCAAATCGAATAAAGAAATCTAATCATCGTCAATAAGAAAAATATTTTTAGGATATTAATAAACATAATTTTTAATCTCAATGTAAACTACTAAACCAGAAAATAATGCATGGCTCGGGCTGGACGCACAACGTAATAAAAAGCGGTTTCTAATTCCCTGCTAAGTAGTTCTGCAGTAGACAAGCAATTTAGCGAGGGAAGTCGTAACACCTGAGCACAATCCGATTTATGAGGACGTCGACTTGAGCCCGGTTGCGAATACAATGGGTTACGTTGGCTTGAAGGCAATATCATGTACTGCCTTCGACCAAGTGGACTTAATTTTCTCCTGCTTACAATAAAACACACGAAATTGATTCTGAGAACCTATGATATATTTTTATATAATGACGTTTATTGTTGGTGGTCTCAATTATGCTAAATAATGGGTAATATAGTATTTAAAAAATATTTCGAAGACAAG